CCGCAGAGGTGCCTTGCCTTAAATCTAGCCCCATCCAGTTGGGTAGAACCTGTAACAGCACGTTGCTTTTAGCCTTTGCAGTTTGGGAACGTCAGACAAACACTCATTTAAACGCTGTTCAAGAGCCTCTTAACCTCACCGCAATTTCCTATATCAACTTGACCGGATGCTTTTAAGGGCAAACTTTCTATGGTGATTTTAACAGAAGGAAGTGAGGGAAACGCACATGTATTAGGAAGATCTCGTAGACCCTGGACAACACTGGCAATTTTAAAGCCTTGTGCAGCTGGAAAGAGGATGACTCGTACTTGACAGATGCTGGTCACATTGCTTAGTACATTCCGAGAAGGTATTCACATACTCTAGCCATGAAATCGTACATAGCTGGGGATTATCACTAGATGCATTTTTAAAAAAAAAAAGGAATGAGCAGTTGCAAATTTTTACTTTGTGTACTCAGAAAACTTCAGAGCTTTTTTAAAAGCTTCTCTCACTTCCCCCTCCTTTTGTTCTCTCTTACTCAGAACCAGTGATACATCAGGAAGACTGCATGACCACAAACGTTACCAGCAACAGTCTTAGGGCAACCAGGCATTCCGAAGAGATGAAAGCAGTAAAAAGCATTCTTCTATCGAACTGGACACCAAGATATTCATGTCTGGCCTGTTAAAACACAGTGACTCCCAACCATTCAGTGAAGCCTCCTGTACATCCTGCTTTTACCACGTTTGATGCTTGTAAAGTTTTCCCATGTGTAGATGGTTGTGTTGAGAGACGGAGCTCAGACTAGATAGCTTTATGAAAAAATTTCAGGCTGGCAATACTGCAAGTTAGCATTTTTCAGGAATTGCTACCCTCAGCAAATTGCTATAGCTCGTACTGCGAGCTCTGCAATGTCCAGGGAATGGGGTGGACCACCACAGAGCCTCCTTCCAACGTATACTGCAGCAAGAATGCAGGACCACGGCGCACAACTTAATGAAGTGCTACAGCCCACTTGCACTCAAATCCATGCACGCTAGAGACAATACTTACGATTGCCACTTAATCATAGCTTTTAATACTGTTGGACTAGAATTTAAATGTTTTAGGTCAGGATTAAACATGCCTTGAAGAGCTGTTCTGTAGAACTTCAAAGACTTCCGTCAGCCTTATGGATTCAGAAGGCTTAATCATCAATTAAAAAAAGAAACAGCACAGAGGTCCAAAGGAGTCAACAAGGAAACTAATAGCAAAAAATCCTAGAATTTAGGAACAACTCAGGCAGGCACCTGGGTTGCTACTAGGTCTTAGAAGATTCATTTCACAGTGGCTTTCACTAAATCTTTAGGAAAAAAGCCTGGAGAATTGACACCTTCTAGAAGATACTGTCGGCAGTGCTAATTTAAATAACGTACAGAAAGCTAAATACTGTATGAATGAAGCCTAAACACTTAGAAGCCAGCATATAAGAGAAGAAGATATTCAGCTACAGAGTTCTCGCTCAAGCTTAAGTCAGTAAAACTCATTTTTGCCCCTATTAGTCAGAACGGCTGACACACATATTTTGTAAAAAAAAAAAGTTTCAGGCTGCTTTCTGGAATTGAAAAAAAAAAAAATCTGTCCCAGTTACGTAAGTGCAGCCTGGCATGTGGATTACTTTTAAATCCATGCATTTTATGCGTGACTATTAGATATGACAAAAGAAAATAGGTGACTTCCTAGCAATTGGGGCACAGATACAAAGCTTCTGCATCTTAGTATTGGAGGATGTGATTGGTAAAAATCGTGAAAATACTTAAGGACAGCTTTGCTATGACTTCAATACTACACAAAAAAGATTACTATGGAATGCAGATTCAGTTTTGGTACAAGATTTTTTTTAAACTGTAAAATTGTACAATAATAGACAAGTGCAAACCAAAAGCTTTGGTTCTTTAAAGCTTCACAATTGAACTCAATATATTAAAAATAAAATTATACTGATATAGTACTTAGTACTGTATTATACTGTAACTACTGATACTTACTTAGTACTTACAGTTTCTTAACAAATATTTACACTTCATGAAGGTTATCCTATACCATCTCTAGTTAGCAGATTCTCATTTCTGACCAGTTTAAAGTTGAGTCTGGAAATTTATTAAATGTTTACCCATTTTCAGAAGTTTTTACCTGTTTTCAGATGTTAAATGGGATATAAAAAGGAATTGTTTTCTATATGAACAATTCTACTAGTATAGCCACCACAATCTGTTTTTGCTGTGAGCCCATCACTAGCATGCATCTAGTACCCAAGCAGATAAGCACAGTTAAAAAGCACAAAGGTTTCACCAGTTAAAAAACAAAACAACCAACCACATGCACACACAGATCAGGGAGAAGTGCTTTAACAGTCTCCATCCAGGAATCTCTGTACTTGTATCTCTACAGCTTGATATATGAGTACGTTCTTCCATATTTTACTAGGAAAATTGCACTGTAAAGCTAATCATATCCTCAGTGACTCTGGGGAAAGAAATCCCTGCTGTCAAAAATTCACCTTTTTTGGAGGATGGATGACTTCAGAGTTAATGCTTATTTCCAGTTAGCTGTGAGTATCTATTTAAAGCGCCTGTTTAAACATGGAATTCAGTTTTTATATTTAATATAATGTAATTATGTTTTGCAATAATTTTAAAAAGTCTTCCAGAATCCAGAGTTTAGATTTTCAACGTTTATTATTAATCACATTCACAGTGCAATACAAATTACATAAAAAGCTATACAACAAACATACAAAGACTACATGAAGCACGTATCATTCTGTAATGGATACAATACCTGATGCTTATACTAGATGTGTTCTTAACACCTGTTAGCAAGAAACTGAAGTCAAAAGATAAATAATTGGATTGAGAAACTCCTTCATTATTTTGGTTTTTTATTAAAAACTCTTTGTGTTGGTAAGCAGGCTATTAAAAAAAAAAAAGCACAATACTCTGCTCTTTCCTAGCATGTAGAAAAGTTTTTCCACTGTTTCAAGCCTAGATTGTCAATTAATCCTGTCCTCCAGCAAGAGTAGTCACAAAAATCAGTTTAGGACTGTGTTTCCAGAGCAGGCTGATGATACAAAAACTATAAACATACATACAACCATGTGTCAGCGTGTAAGTATGGAAATATTATATGTAAATGTTTAGAGACCAAGCTGGTCCAATATATGCACTGCTTAGATAAATTACACAATGACAGTTCTGAAGTACATTACACAATTTTAATGTACTGTCCATACCAGAAAAATACATTTACTGTACGTGTCTAGAATAATTCCTGCAAATGTTCATGATGAGTTGCACTAGCACTCTGGAGATTGATCTAAGATTAAAAAAAAATCCTGGCTGGCTAAGTGCAAATAAGTGGTAATTTCCACTACTGGTCAGATTCTGGTGGCAGTTTGATTTTATTTCACTTTGTCAAATAAAAACATTTCACAGAAGTGACATTTTTGTTACCTGCAGTACACTAATGGTTTAGCAACTTCAGGAGATAGTCTTCCTTATTTAATCTATACATAACTTTAAACTATGTATTGAGAATATGTCCTTAGGACCTTTTGTTAAACTAAAGGCAAGCGTTTGGCTAGTAGCAACAGAATGACAGCACAGAACCTCCCTCGAGCATGACAGAATTATGAATTTCAGGAGAACAGATTCTTTCATGTGCTAATTCTAAAAAATTAGAAAGAGATGTGTTTTTAGCCACCCACTCCAGAGCTGTGAAACTGATGAGTCGAGACTCATTTTCATTTAAGATGCACACAATCTTCCCTTTTGACAGACGACCATAAAGAGGAAATTATTGCTTTAGCACCTCAGCACAGCCCCAGTCCATTCAATGGATTGCAAAGGCTACACAAACTGGCAAGCCACAATTTCAATTAAGAAATTTGGTTCTGTGTGTCTGCATGAACAATCTGTTCAAGTATTAGAGGGCTTGTAAACCTGGACATAAGCTTTAAGTTCATGTAGAAAAATAAGTAAGGATGTAATATGCAAAAATAAATCATGTATTTAATATCCATACAGATCTGCATTCTAATATGCACTATATATCAATAAGCATCCTTACTGATCACTATTCAAATGCATCTCCCAAAATGCTAGTAGCACTTCTTCGGTCTGTTTTTAGCATGAATCCAAAATAAACCCCACAGCAGTGTCTAGTACTTCACAGCCAAAATTTTCAGTACTACTACTGAGCGTAAAACCCTTCTCCTGGGGTCTAGCGAGGAAGAGCTTTTTCAATGCCATCAGAGCCCTTCTCTGACTCCTGGTTGCTGTATGTCCCTTCTAACAAACAACAACAGTGCCAGGGACTTACTGCTCCGAGTCCAAGGGAACCTCATGTATATCCAATATCGGAGGCAGCAGTATTGACAGAGACCCTGAGCAACCCCAGAGCATCTTCAGCAGAGCACTCATGCTCAGAATTCACCTCAAAGCAGAAGAGCCTGGCGAGCGCTCGCTTACCAGAATGCCATTATGACAACTCTCAGCATAAATGCCACTGCAAACAACTTTACTCAAAAAAGACGCTGAAGCAGAATAAGCCAGATGTACATTTTATAAGTCACACGCTGCTTTTGAAAGCGTGCTATAAGGAGAATCCATTTTAGACTAGACTTCCAGAAAAAGTTGGTGACTGCAGCTTCCTCCCTGGCCCCCAGTGAAGACAAACTTGCACGTGGGAAAGTTTTGAACAGCAAGTTTCACGTAAATGTACTTCAACTCACACACGCTGTTTAGAAAGGTAACAATTACTACTGCATCAAATTTGGATCTGCATTGCACTTTTCACATACACATTAGCATTTGATGTTCACAAGAAATATTCAAATGTCAATAGAAGTGTAGAAATCGCTGTAAAAAGTTAGTACAAAACCTCCACTGTTTCTGGAGTTGAAAGACAAGTTTCTAACACAATGCATGTGGGGAGCTATGCCATTTACTCCAGTTCACGTAAAATGGTATTAAAACCACCAATAGCTTTATAAAAGGGACGTATGAGAAATACAAAACCAAATGACAAAACTTCTCAGATACTACTGCAGTATTCAAGCCAAGGGACATCCAAGTGCTGAGACAAACCATATGTGTGAACACCTTCATGTTAAACTTCACATTCCCATCTGCATGTCAGCAAAGTTGTAGAAATTGTCTACATCTTGAGACGCTGATGCCTTGCTCTCCGATACAAAAACCTGTTTTATTAAACAAGGAAATAGTTATGCATCACTAATAAAGAAGTTCAAGTAGTCTTTGCTCATTCAGAGCCAGTAACAGTTATTTTTATTTTTGCGCTTCACGAGAGGCACAACTCGCTTGGTTTCCACTGTGCGACAGAACAGTTCGAGAATTCTCTCAGCCCTGACGCATCCTTTGTGATCATCACCTGTTCCTAGCAGGCATGCTAGCTGCAGTAATCCCAGCCTTCCACTGATGAGAATTAAAAGTTTTGGGCTCGGTTATTCGGGGGTCACAGCTTCAGGTAGCGTTCATTTAGATGTATTTTGCTTGGTAAAGTCAAACTTTGTCCGGTGGGGTGGGGAAACAAACACGCTAAACCCTTAGACTACCATTAAGCTTTCCTTTGACAGAAAGGCAGAGCTTGTAAGAAAGACTCGCTTGCACCGCTATATTCCCCTCAAAACACTTAGTTGCTTCTTCATCAGGTGATTATTTTTTTTAAATAACTTCAATTACATTTGCATTTTGCAAAATTGATTGACGCATGTGGAAGTCCAAGCTCTAGGACAGTCATCTTAGAAAATTTAAGGCAAATCAACTACAAATGCCTTAGGCAACGTCCAAGTAGTTCATTGTAACAGACAGCGTTGTGGCGTTGTGGCTGTTCATCCATCTCAACATTCAAGTGATAGCCTCAATCAAAAACTTGAACTGAGTTCTTACTGTCTTGTATTTTCTATACGTCAAGCAGAAATCCTCACTGTCTCAGCACATCAGTGTTGGCACAGCCAACTCAGCTATTCTAAAGTGCACTGGGCCTGTAGGAATGGATTATTCCAGATGACTGTGGTCCTACAGTCATCACTTTTCTGCTTCAGCTCAGAATACTACATGAATGTAAACTATGACTGTTCCTTGAATTGGGAGTTTGCTTAAACTATGTGTTTTAAGTTGAATATCCTGTTGTCCAGTAAATTTCTCATTTTAAAAAAAGATTATATCACCACAAAGCAAGTAAGTTTCCTAGACTGTTCCTTGGATGCATGGTAAACCTCTGTTTGAAGGGACTTGAGAACATCTACTAATTATTTGGCAGTAGTTTGGTGCAACAGTGATTGGTACCACAGTCACAACGGTTGAATACCTTGCTTCTTTCAACATCCTTCACTACGAAGATATTAGAATTTACATTTTACAGAGTATTTTATGAACAAGCAATGAGACGGAGGAACAATATTAGAAAGCACGCCAAAAGAAGTGCAGCAGGTCACACCAGAAAGAATGTCAGAGGCAAGGCGTGCAGGCATACCCAGGCCACGCAAATAGGAAGTCTGCTTCAGCGCACAGCTCTCCTTGTAACACGGTGCTTCTACCAAACAGCTCGAAAAGCTCTGGTGGTGCTATTGCTGAAGAACTTTTCTACCCTTACTAGAGTATCTAGAGTTGTTTATCAAATTTATTTCAGAAACAAAAATCTGGTGAAATTAAGGTTATTAATGGATGAATTGAATAATTTTTAACTGTGGTTTTCAAATGCAAATGTAGCCACCTGACTAAAAGCAGATTAATCTCTTGCAAAAATCTTACAGCATGCCTGTCTTCCTAACAGATTTTGCCATTGTTTCTTGATCAAGGATACCTATAATTCTTTCTGAGCACTATAACAACTCTCAAACACGATAAGGGCAGCCAACAATGAGGTGAAACCACTTTGTAGAGCATTCCTGAACCTGCTGGTAGCAGCAAGCCTGAAGTTTGTTACTCCCTAGCTTCTAAATTATGTGCCAAGAAAGAAATACATTTTCTAAAAAATGTAGACTCATGATATTCAGTTATCTAGGGATCCATGCAGAAACCCAGTGTTTATCAGAAGTATCGGAGTTAGATTTTATCTAAATTAAGGTGTATACTTCTCAGGATGCCCAAAGTTCTGCTTCTTAATTCAGTCCAGCAAGTATTTAAAAAGTGAGGTAGGTTTTATTACGGAATCAGGCTGCAAACAGAAGATTTAGATCCAGATGCAGTAAGTAATTTCACCTCTGGAACTGAACCCAAACACTACAGTTCACCTCCAAGAACAACCCCTTGCTTCACAGCATGAAGTGGACAGTCTGAGGTTTCTGGATGCATCTCAGGTCAGGACACTCAGTGTTACAATAACTGACAACAATCGTTTTAATGAGGAAAATATAAAATTTTATTTGTTCTAATAATTAATACCACTTCAGTCTTTGAACAGAGAAAAAGATCTAGAAGAACGAGTGAATTACCTACCTAGTATCAGCTTTGATCTGTTTGAAAAAAAAAAATATGCTAAGCAAAGTAAAAAAAGCCACTGTAAACTCCTGCTTAAAGAGGCCATTTTTATGGTAAACTTTGCAGTGATGACTTGAGTCACAGGAAGAATCAGTAATATCACAACACTGCCCAGACTGTAGTCGTAGTATTCTCCAGACTCAGAGAGTCAAATTAAGGCCCGCTACACATCAGTTTTTTTGGTGCAATGGCAAATGCGAAAACAGCAAACATTAGCTGCATTTGAGATGACTTATTACAAGATGATTGTCTTCCAGAAACTGGGCAGTCTAGTTCTGAGTAACTCTTTCGAAAGGAACTAAAAGACAGCAAGGAGCTGTATGGACGCTGTGTCTCAAAGACATTCCAGTCTTCTTTGAATAGCTGCTTGAAACCAAAGGATTTGTCACTTTTATGTTATCAGGAGTGCTCTAATTGTTTCCAGGAACTTTCTCAAAACCATTGCCATTCAGAGAAACGAGGACAGCAAGTAAAGAAGAGGTGTGGCGTAAGGAAGCTACAGTAAAGCAAGCTGACAGAAGAAAAAAGAAAAATGCCTTTGAAGGAAGGCATTCTGCAATATACTACACAGCAAAAGTAAACCTTGAAAAAAGTTGATATTTCATCATATTTGTCAGGGTTTAATAGATTAGGACATCACACAGCAGACTTCAGTGTAAGGCTTGGAGCAGAGCTTTTCCCTACTATATTTACAGAACTTGTTTTTACTATTATGCGAAATAACAGTTTTAAGCGGAAAATCTTCTATTCTTCAACGGATACGGGGATTTAGTACTCTCTTTCCTAGGGCAATTTTTCCTACCTCTGACAAGCATCTTGAGTTTTGAGTACAAAAAACCCAAAACAACAACAAAAAACCAGGATGTTCAGATTTTACTATTCAGAAACCTAAAAAGATTGTGCAGTATGTCAGTGCTACAGCTTGACCGTGAAGTATCCTAGACATTCCGCAACTTTTTCTGCCAACAAATCAATATACCAGCTTACCTTGGTCCCACTAAAAACATTGTTTATAGTGCTTCGACATTCTTCCACAGCACCATCTCCACTGAACTCCAAAGCAACCACTGGACCTGGAAGATAGTTTCATCTAGAATCAATACTACTTTCCAGCTTGGCACTGAAACAGTAGATTTCTCAAACCATAGGGAATTGTGAACCTTGCAAGAAGCATTTTATGGTTTTTGCTTGAGCAGCCGTAATGCAGGATAAAGAATTAAAAACACTTAACCACGGCTTGAAAGTACAGTGTTATCCGAGAAGAAAATATCTGCAATTCCATGCTCATTTTTGCAGAGACTCTGGCAGGATTCCAGTTGTACTTCTTCAAAGGCAGCAACAGCACAAAAACGCTAAGGAGCGCAGGGCATGATGGAAGTGAGTCAGACTATACTGCTCAGATAGTGAGCCATTTCACAGACATCTGGAGTAGGACTGAGTCATTCAGGCATTTTTGTCTCAGTCCCAAGATAGCAAACTGCCTGATTTTCAGACTTGTTCTCACCCACTATTTGCAGATCCCCTTTCTCTGGTTTCATTCTGAACATGTTATTTCTTCCCACACGGGTGCCAAATAGCCCTTAAACTACACTGCCATCTGATTAAGTGCAGTAACTTTTGCCCTATTCTTGCAATGAGCATCAAAGACCTCTTATGTTACTACGAAAAAAACTGCATGTTACTACTAAGTGAGCTATAGCATATAACAGATGGCAAGATGTCAGTACTTCTGCAGGAAGAGACAAAACCCACTTACAGTCAGATCAATAAAAAAAGCTTTGACATACTCTGACTGTACACCAGTTATAAACAGGAATTTAACAATTGCTTTATACACATCTATACTGATTTGTTTTATGAATACAGAAACACTGGACATTTAGGTGGTTGAATCATAGAATCATAGGTTGGAAAAGACCTCTAAGATCATCAGGTCCAACCATCCACACAACACCACCACGCCTGCTAAACAATGTCCTGAAGTGCCACATCTACATGTTTTTTTTAACACCTCCAGAGATGGGGACTCAACCATTTCCCTGGGCAGCCTGTTCCAGTGTCTG